TTAAATTGAGTGAGTGAGCGAGCATGTTTTCGACACCGCCATCTTTGGCGATTTTTTATTTATTTTTGGCATAGCTAAAAGCCCTGAAAATTTACAGATGTGTACTTCACATAATGCAAAACCCACTAAAAAAGTTTCAAAAAATAATAAAATTGTTTAGACCCCGAACTAAAGTGAAAACATAAAAGTAAAAAGTGAAAAAATACGTCCCCGAACTAAAGTGAAAACAAAAAGTAAAGAGTGAAAAAATACGTGGGCGAGCATGTTTTGACACCGCCATCTTTGGCGATTTTTAATTCTTATTTGGCTTAGCCAAATGACTTGAAAATTTACAGGCATGTACCTCACGTCATAGAGAACTCACAAAAAAAAACTTCAGAAAAAAATAATTATTTTTAGGCCCCGAAATAAGTTTTGGCGGGGGCCAAACGCCGTCGGGTTCGGACCCCGGACGGGACCCCGAATGCCCGTACGTACGGAGGTCTGCCCGGGGACCTCCGTACGTACGGGCTGGTGACCCTGTATATATATGTATATATATATATATATATACAGGGTTGCCAGCGTTGGGGACGGGCGGAACGCCCGAACCCGAACGCCCGAACGTATGGGACCCCTTGGGGATGCGTTCGGCCGTTCGGGCCGAACGCGGGATTCCAAAAAATCTGAAAAAAATATATGGTATGCAGAAGAATACAATAAACAACATTTGCCTCAACGTAACATCCAAATTCTTTACCAAATTTGAAATAAAAATCAAATACTAGAAATAAATAATAATAATGCTAGGCTACCAGAGTGGCCCGGGGTCACTTGCCCGTATGTATCAGTCATCCAAAGACGAGTGATAACAGATTCATCCCAATAATAATAATGCCCGGGGTCACTTGCCCGGCCGGGCCAAAAAAATAAAAATAAAAAAAATATTTTTAATTTTAACTTTTTATTTTAATTTTGGTGAAGAATTTCGATGTGACCCTGAAGCAAACGTTGTTCAGTTTATTTTTCTGCATAACATAGTTTTTTTTCGGATTTTGTGGATTTTTTTTATTATTATTTTTTGCTGGGAGCTCCTTGCACGGGCTGGCCACCCGGGACCCGGGCAGCCCGGCTGGTAGCCTAGTAATAATGAAAATTAGAAAAAATAAAACGAGAATGAGATTATTGAGTGGGCGAGCACGCTTTTGACACCGCCATCTTTGGCAATTTTTCATTTTGTTTTGGCTGTGACAAATGCCATGAAAATTTGTGTATGTGTATCTTACATAATAGAGAATCTACAAATAAAGTTTGAAAAAAATAATAATTGTTTTCATGCCCCGAAATAAAGGAAAAA